TCTAGAAAACTGACCAGAAATAATTTTGGGTAGGTAACCAGATATAAGACAAACAAAATATATGAAAATTAAGATTTCTTCAACTGTACAAATAAGCACTCTGAAACAGAAATAAGATGCATTCCACTCACCACAGCAAACCAAAACACAAGGTATTTAGGAATAAATCTAACAAGAAAGGCACAGAAACTATGAAATCTCACTGAAAGATATAAATACTATCTCAACAAGTGGAAAGCATGAAATGGGGAGATTATGACACATATCTCCAATTAATTAATTTATACATATAATGTTATTATACTTAGTATCCAAACATCATAGAATGAACAGAAGTGCATAATATTGTTTTAACTAGCACTGCATATTGGGGGAGGGAGGAAGAATTAATAAAATGATCTTAATGTATCTGAAGAATAAGCATTCAGTAACTACAAAAATTAAAATATTGCAAGAAAATCTAGGGGACTGAATACAATCTTGTGTAGAAAGTAAGACCTTCTTAACCATTACAAAAAAAAAAAAATCAAAATCTATAAAAGCTAGATGACAGAATTATTTTTACACAAAAATTAAAAGTTTCATATAGTGAAATATATGAAAAACAAGATCAAAAGACAAATGATAAATATAGAAAACACTGCAACCCAAATGACAAAGCCATTAACAATCAAGCATTTCCACAAATTGAGTAACCAACAAATACCTCAATAGAAAAAAACGGACTAATAAAATGAAGAAACTTTTCAGACAAAATTAAATTTAAAACGCCAACAAGGATGTAAAGAGATGTTTAAATTCACTAATCAACGGGATTGAACATAATCCAATTAACAAAGAGACATGACCAGCTTGACTCACAAACACTTCACACTGCTCCTGCACGAACCGTGGTGGGACACGCGCGTGCTGGGACGTCACAATGGACAGCATTATGGTGGGAGCGCATGTGGGCGACAGTGTGGTGGGGACGTTCATGGTGGGGAATATGGTGGGGAATGCAATAGTGGCAGGTGCGTAAGGTGCGGAGTGTCGTGTGAGGCATGGCTGATGAGCAGGAAAAGCTTTCGAAAAGGAATAGAGTAAATTTGTTAAAAATTAAAAATATATCCTTTGACATATCACGTCAGTTATCTCAGCAAAACGAAAGTGCCAGTGTGTAGAGACATTAATTTAGAAGGATGTTAGCTGTGGCATTTTTTGTCATGGAAAAAAATAAAAATGAAGTTAATACGTATGAATTGGAGAGTGGCCGGACGAACTATGTACACCCGCACCACAGAATACTAGTCATTTAAAAGTTAATTAGAGGTTTACCAGTTGACGGGGGTTTGTATGAGATGTTCTTGAGCAAAGCTAATGTTAGAGCGGACATCACTGGCAAGGGCGGCGTGGCAGCGTCGCGTGAGACGACAGCAAAGCACTGTGCACGTGCAGAGGGACGCGTGCACACGCCTGTGTGCAGGGCTGTGTGAGAACAGGGCGAGGACGGTCTGCGTTCTCTCTGCACCTCATGCCTCTGTCTGCACCTCATGCTGTGGACGTGGGCCTCCTGGGACGGTGACAGAAGGAGGTGCCATCGACGTTGAGACACCAGAGGGATGGGAGAAAGGGAGCAACTCCAAACAGGAAAAGAAGACAATACTGCACTCAAAAGCCACTCACGTGAGCCACACGCACACTGATATAAAATTACATACATGCGTGAGGGTATGTCAAGAAATTAAAATAAAGGTTTAGTTTGTTAGTAAAGAACACAGGAACGGGTCAGTTTTTAAAATACAAGGTTAAAAATAGATATCAGAAATTTTCCTTTCATTGAATTAAGAACGGATGTGCAGAACTTGAGACAGTGTGTTGCATGAGAAAAGACTGTGCATATGAAGACACCAACCAAGAAGCAGCAACAAGTCATGCAACTGAACAAGTCAAGGTAGAAGGAGAGTTGTCACCAGAGCGCATCATGAACAAAGCTGTCTGCAGAAATGTGACCAGCAAAACCGTACACACTTGTCATTGTGCACCACCCATATGCACAGGAGAGATTTCAGGAGAAAACACGAGACCCTGGTGGGAATCAACCCTCAAGCCTGGCACAGACACGGGACCTGGTGAGGGAAGGGTGACATTGAGGTGGCAGGTCTGAGAACGCGTGTTAAGAGGATCGTGCACCAGAAACACGTCTCCCGAGCTTCTCACCTGCTCAGTGAATGCTTCCTTATGGGGCACAGTAGTGTTTTAATCCACACTGGAAGGACATGATATTGAGGAATAACGCAGGATTTTCAGATACACATAGGACAGAGATCTGTTCTCTTAGGAAATTTTGCAACATTATATATTGTAAAACACACACAATCCAATTTTATATAATCACTCAGTTCTAAAACAAAAATGGGCGCACTGCTCACATCCTGTTACTGGAAATAAGAGTCTGAGCAAATCAACACCTGAGCACGACTCAGAAGCACAACACCCTCGTGAGACAGCACTGCAGTGTCCCAAGAGACTGGGGCACAGACTGAGTTACGGGAGACGACAGGTCTAGCTGCTGAGACTGTTTCCTGGGATGGGCTAACGTAGACAAGATAAAGGCAGAGCTGAGAATGAAAATTAGGGAGAACGGATACAGCACATGAAACACGAGGCTGAGAACCAGCTCCCTGCCCTCTGAAGAATTTTCATGTTTATTCTACTTCCCCGGGAACTGATCATATACTTTCTCCCACTAATAGCAGTTATTTTTCTACTCTTAATATCTCTCTTCCTGTACTGAGAGTTCTTTAAAGGCACAACCTGAGTTAGAATCACCTTTGTGCTCACAAGAGCCATAGCACAGTGACTCTTGTGTAATAGTCGATCATTGTATGAAAGATTACCTATTTTTTTTTCCTTTTTGTCTTTTTTACTGACCGGTAACAGGATCGCAACCCTTGGTGTCACGCCCGCACCGGGGACTGGCAATGGGATCGCAACCCTCGGTGTTGCGCCTGCACCGCGCTCAGCCAGTGAGCGGGAACCAGTCTCCATATGGGATCCGAACCCTCGGCGGGAGCGCGGCCGTACTCCCAAGCGGCGCACTCTCCAGTGCGCCACCGGGCCGGCCCGAAAGATTACCTATTTAATATATTTCTATTTACTAGTAATCTCTATGCATGAAAAACTGAATTCCAAGAGTGACTAACATAGGAATGAATAATAAAAAGAGAGATAAAGACCAAAACCTGGTGCTTTATAAGTTTTGTCGAGTTAAAAAACCACCTTATAAAATCCCGAGCTCCCAGGAATGTATGGTAAAATTAATATTCAGAATTTTAAGTTTATGGGCATACAAGAAAAAAGAGGCTTATTTTGTTCCCATTTCAAATCAGTGAGATAACAGTCTTTGGAAGAAATAACAAAGAAAATAAATGAGAAAACTCTAATGATAAATTTCTTTGTAGATTGAAGAAAGCATCTTATAAATGAGAGCAGAACTTTTCACAATTAGAGCGATGAGAATTTGTGTCATATTTTTAGAAGAGGCTGAGCACTTTTTTCTTAAATACCCATTAGTTCTTTATATTTGCCTCTAACGTTTAATAATGCAGCTTGATTTCTTAATAATATTTAATAATTACTTAACTATAATTGTATTT